AGAGAGCGACAGAGAGAAAGGGAGAGAGAGAGAGTCATTGACAAGCAAGCACCTGTGACTCACTCACCACGCACGCGGATAATCCAGTGAGCAAAATGGAAAGGCCCAAAGTGTACATACACACAGTCGTTTTTTCTGAAGTGCGGTGTCAAATCGAAAAGATAACTCAAGAAAGATAAAAACCTGTCAAACGAAAACTTTCAGCCGGGGAGTTGTGAAAGCGCGCTCTTGCCGATTCAGATATGTAGATCGTGCAAGTTTGATAGCCATTTTCCACCCTTGACCAGTTTTGTGTGAAATAATCTCATAATACCGAATAATATTCAACACCTTTATTTGGAAACCTATAATTTGTAACTTAGATTTATTTTACGAGTAGTGAACGTTTGCCCTTGTTTGTTTTAAACTGTTTAACACGAAACCTGAATAGCGTGCGATTAAAAGTTTATTTTTAGAAGGAATGGAAACAGCTGTGCGTACACCGAGTCCGTGTGCTGATCACAGATGAACATAGGAATAAATCCCGCCACTATGTCACCTACTCTCTCCTTCGGTGGACTCCATCAAATCATTCATCTGCCATAGACAAAGAATTCAATATCAAGAAGCATGGGATATTCACCGAATCCGTATTCGAAAGGTACAAGGGTAGAAGAGGAAATCCTGGACAAAACAGATACAGTGAAAATACAACAGTAGCTGATACTATGTAGTGAAAAAACCACCTGTATCTCTCACACCTCCATGGACTGGATCCGACAGGCTCCCTGCCTGATGAACGGCGTCAAGTCACGCGCAAAGCACTACAGTTTCAGTTGCTCACTTTGGATTTCCCAAGAGCTCATTTCCTACAAAACGGTGTACACAGTTCTGTTTCATTATTCTTAAAATTCTTGATTATAATGGAAGAGACAAGAATCATGCACTGTCTACCGCTTTAACATGAGAACAAAACAGCACAATATGCAGTTTGCTACCGCATTAGTGTTGGTGGGAAAAAAGCACGATTTCACTAAAAATTAACAGATATTTATCACAGGATGCAAGCCGGACGAAAGAAAAAAGTGAGCGAGAGTCATTTCGCGTCATTTATTCATTTCTTTTTGGACTGTGCGATCACCCAGAACAACTCTGCTATTCAAGTAAGCACGCCCTCTCCCCACCCATTCCTTATATAGTATTGTATTATAGAGAGCATGGCCGTAAATAAAGCTGCATCACAATGAAAGCCTCGTGTTGTCGGATAATATGTCGCCATCTGTTCAAAACACTCAGTCCCAAAACAGAGCCATCCGAATATCTTTTACGACAGCAGATCCACACGACGCACAAGACCAGGTTTGCCACTCATCACAAAACACGCGAAAGTTCGACGTTCGAATCCAAGAGAGCACGAGTACTCCGCACCCTCCCATCCAACATTCCATCTAAATTTCCAGAGCGACGTCCGATCAGGTGAACTCGGAGCTCCACTTCTAATATGACCTACCTTTTTCTTTTTTCTTTACGATGAGAAACAAATCGAGAACAACGCACGGAAATCTTAGCCAATCAGCCATCTATTTGATCGGGCATTAGTGCCGGACCACTGGATTATAGTAACAGTAACAGAGCCGACTGGACGGTGACAGCCGGAGACAACACAGAGAACTGTTAACTACGGATCTGATGTATTGATTAGCGTGATATGACTTGTGACAGACGCGCCGCACACTGAACATTGTCATTAGGGATACCAGCACTGGATTAATGAGCATCCAGGCCCGCAACAGCGTCAGATCGTTAGGTAAGTCCACGTAGAAAAACACCTTGACGCAGCAGTCAGTATTTGTCTGTCTGTCTGTGACGTTCACTTCCTCGCTTCCCCCCACCCACAATCCATTCGTTCTCTCCCTCTCTCCCTCTCTCTCTCTCTCTCTCTCTCTCTCTCTCTCTCTCTCTCTCTCTCTCTCATGTCGGTGGTGTTATTTCGTCTCTATGCCCCTCAGTAACTCGTGTTGCTCTCTGTATCCCTGTGACTGTCTCGTCCCTTTAAGTACAAAAGATGAAAGCAGGAAAGTGACGTTTTAGTTGAGTCAAAACTACAGTAGAGTCCCTGAGACAATAACCAGATTTCGTCATTAGAATAATCGTAGGAGCATAGAAAACAAGTACGGGCAAATGGTGCACTAACCACCAAACGGACAAGGAGATGAGGAGGTGGGGGTGGAGGGATAGGGGGAGTACCAGAAAAAATAGTTTAAAATAGTAATGAAC